TGACCAGGATGGTCTCGATCTCTTGACCTCGTGATCCACCCACCTCGGCCTCCCAAAGTGCTGGGATTACAGGCGTGAGCCACCGCGCCTGGCAATCATCTCTTCTTAAACTCAGCAAATATCCAGTCAGGATTCCATTTTTCTGATTGTCTTATGAATTTACTTTTACAATTGGTTTGAACTGTGATCTAAACAGGGTCTACACATTGAATCTGTCTGATGCATCTCTCTAGTTTCTTTATATATTTTCTTTCCATTTTTCTCCTTGCAGTTTATTATTAGAGAACTGTGTCATTTGTCCTATGGTTTCTCATATTCAGGTTTATGCTGATTGCATCCCTGTGGTGTCATTTAAAGATGTTCCTCTGTCCCATATTTTTCTTGCAAACTGGGAATTCTATCTAGAAGCTAATCAGGTTCAAATTTTATTCTTTGGGCCAAGAAATTCTAGCTTTTTAAAAAAGGGTTTCTTGAAGGCTTCAGACATGGAGAGGCTGAGAATTCAGTGAAAGCAGAGCCAGGCTTTGGGCTAATTGGGAGCCAAAGAACAGTGCAGTGGACCACTTTTCTGTTCCTTTTCTAAAGCCCTCCTTCCTCTGAGTCAGTTTGGTTCTGAGTTTAAGAAGCCAAAGCTTTCAGAGGAAAGCTTTTTTCTAAAAGCTTTTTTTTCCCCCAGAAAGGTCATGCCTTTCACCCCAGTTTGGGGGAGTCCTCCCTGCTAGGATTTGGGGGCTTTAATAAATCTTTCCCCTTCTCATAGGTCCTGCGTTTATGAATTGGGACCTTTTCTCTTGCTAGTTGTGGGGGTGTGGAGGGCCAGACCAACTTTGTGTGGGCTATGTGAGGGGAACCTGTTGTGCCTGTGGGCCATGTGCAGTAAGTTGGGGCTAACTGTGAAGTTAGGTTGGCAACACTGTGATAGTAGTTAGAACTACCATTACTGAATGACTGCCTTATCACAGACATTCTGCTGGGTGTTTTATTTCTTTTCTTTTTTTTTTTTTTTTGAGACGGAGTTTCGCTCTTGTTACCCAGGCTGGAGTGCAATGGCCTGATCTCGGCTCACCGCAACCTCCGCCTCCTGGGTTCAGGCAATTCTCCTGCCTCAGCCTCCTGAGTAGCTGGGACTACAGGCACGCGCCACCATGCCCAGCTAATTTTTTGTAGTTTTAGTAGAGACGGGGTTTCACCATGTTGACCAGGATGGTCTTGATCTCTTGACCTCATGATCCACCCGCCTCGGCCTCCCAAAGTGCTGGGATTACAGGCTTGAGCCACCGTGCCCGGCGGTGTTTTATTTCTTATTCTACCTGCTTGGCCATTCAGCTTCTGCAGGCCCTGCCTATCCTGGCTTTACATATTTTTCCTGTGTGGGGACTAACTTTTTAAATGGTAAAATGGTGGCTAAGCCCTGCATGCCTACAGCAAGGGCTGACTGTCACTTTGGGACATGAGGCCCTCTGGGTAAGCTGGGACTTGGTGGACAATTTAGCTGTGGGGACTCCTGCTCAGTCCTTTCATTTGGTACCAGGAGCATGTCATGATGGTATTGATCCTGCATTTGTAGAACTTGCCCAGGCTCCTTTTCTGGAGGGACCTCTGCCATCTCTGTTCACTAGTACAGTGGTTGAAGCTGTGGAGTGAATTGGGACACTGGCCCGTGGGCTCCTGCCTGTGGTAGGGGTGATAGAATTTTGGTGTCTCACTCTCTGTGGTTCCTTCCCTACAGATTGGGCCTCTAGTGCATGTCTGTTGCCCCCTGGCATTCTCTTTGCTCCTTTGTCTTATACTTTAGGTTCTGGTCAGCTCTGCTGTGGAATGGGATACTTCCTGACTCATCTGTGCTGTGCCTTGGGCTCTCAGGCTGGCCACAGGGCTGCTCTGATCTCTCCTTCCTATCATTTGTCTTTATGGGCACATAGGGTTCTGAAGAGAGCTTTGCTCTAACAGAGACCTCTTACCTGGTGCCCCTACTTCTTTCTAACAAGAGGGTCACATGGAGGCAGATTGGAAGCCTCCAGGGAACTCTAGATCACCCCAGGATCAGACCAAATCTTGAATGGACTGGAGAGGCCAGACTTCCCCTAAAGTGGGCAGGGCTGTTGTCAGGGCCAAAAGTGAAGAAGAGATTTTCCCTGAGGGGAAATAGAAGGGATGGCTTTTGGGTCTTGGTCCCAAACACTGAGGAGATCGAAGAACCTCAGCAGCAAGGATCACCTCACCCAGTCCTATCTGGGACTGCCTCCTGTATTCAGAGGAGCCCTAGTTCTTCAGTGCGACTGGTTTGTGTGGGGAGCCAAACCTCCCAAAGATGCTGGAAGAACCATTAAGGCATTTGGGTACTTGGAAGAAAGGGTAGGTGAGGAAATTTCCCGGTAGTTACACTGTTACATTTATGTTTGCAGGCAGGTAACAAGGGTCACTCACACTTAAAAATTTTTAAAAATTAAATAATTATTTAGATTGACAATTATGCACTGTATATTTATTATATACAACCTGATGTTTTGAAATATTTACATATTATGACATTATGGAATGGCTAAATTAAGTGAAATAACATGGTCATCACTTAACATACTTACCGCTTTTTTGTGGTGAGAATGCTTAAATCTATTAGCAGTGATTTACAAGAATGCAATACATTGGTGTTAACTATAGTCACCATGTTGTACAGTAGATCTTTTTTTTGGAGTGGAGGACAAAGTCTCACTCTGTTGCCCAGGCTGCTGGAGTACAGTGGCACAGTCTCGGCTCATCACAACCTCTGCCTCTTGGGATCAAGTGATCCTCATGTCTTAGCCTCCCAAGTAGCTAGAATTACAGGCATGTGCCACTATGCCCAACTAATTTTTTTGCATTTTTAGTAGAGACCGGGTTTCACCATGTTAGCCACACTGGTGTTGAACTCCTGGCCTCAAGCGATCCGTCTGCCTCAGCCTCCCAAAGTGCTGAGACTGCAGGCATAAGCCAGCCATCATGCCCAGACTAGATCTCTTGAATTTATTCCTCCTATTTAACTGAAACATTTTGTCAACCTTCCCTTCTACCTCCTACCCTGTCACCTACACTTTTTTGGATATGGGAGTGCTTGTGGGGATTTTTACAGTTAGATTCTACAGAGAAGTAGAAACAATTTTAAGTGAAATTTTATCCACGTATTCAGGAAACTCTGCTGAACATCTGTTGGATACCTATCCCTGGGTGAAGTGTAAGGAATAAAAGAAGGAGCACAAAATAGGCTCTGCCCTAAAGGGTGCCATGGTGTGGGGAGAAATAACTCTTGTCCAGATCTTTAGCCTCAACTTTGTCTTCCTTAAATTAGAATTTGCTCCTGCCTTCTCTTTTTCTTAAAGAGGTAAGGGAAATGAGAGTATGATTAGAAGGGGTTGCATTATTTCATGTTCTAAAATAGTAGAGCATATATTTGTATGGTATTTTACAGCTTACAAAACACATTCATAACATTCACTTATTCTGTTGGGAAGCTCCAAAGGCCTAAGAGGAATGATGTAGAAGAACAGCCAGCTAGCAGACTTTAGCAAACCAAAATGCCGAATGCTGTGGAGAACTGTGTCACTTCCCCGCCTCCTCCTCTGTGAAGATGGGAGATTTAGCAAGATGATGGGAAAGGCTTTGAGGAGTGGGAAAGAGTCAGAAAGTAGGACATTTGAGCAAAGGGCAAAGTAGGATGATGTGGAGGAAGAGGAATAGTGGAAGCATGCTGGCTGGGTGTCAGAAATTCAGGTTTTAATCAATCCTGACATTGCCCAAACTTAGCTGTGCACATTGGGTATGTCCCTGGTTTTTTAATCTGTGAAATGAGAGATTTAACTAGATGATCTCCAGAGTTCCTTCCAGCTCTGACAGATGATTTCTGTGAGATGTGTAAAAAGGAAGGGTGATGCTTCCCATTGTTCACCAGCCCCTTTGAGCATAGAAAACAAGGTCATAAATCAAAAGTACATTGTGCACTTTTTGGTTTACTTTGTAGCAGCTCTAAATGAAGAGCCCTTACTCTTCCATTGTGTGGCAGAGATTTTTCAGAATGGATGAGATGACTGTAAACTCAAGCCTGGAACCAGGAGAGAGGGACTGACTGGCAACCTGTCTCTGGGTTGCTTCTGGTAGGCAGGGGCTCTTGAAAAGCGGATGGCCTCCTTGTGCCGGGTTAGTTGGCCAGCCAGCAAGGCTCCTATCCAGACTTGCAGAGCCTGCTGCAGGCTCCCTGTTCCCAGCTGTGCTCGGCTGCTTATCTCCTGAATGTTGTTTCACCCACTTCCTGCAGGCACTCTGGCAGTAGCCAGTGTGCCATGATTTCCATGGGAGCTAGGGTTGGCAAATGCTCTGTGATGGGAAGGGTGGGGCATGGGAAGGGCTAGCCTGAAAGGGTCTTTAGATCTGCAGACTCCAGTTAGGCAGAATCCTTCATTTGTAGAATGAAGAGACAGATGTGGTGCTCTCTGCAGCTTTTGCAGCTCTGTGGGTTCTGTGGGCTCAGGCCAGATCTCTTCCAATGTCAAAGTCTGGTATGTGAGGCTGCTTCCTTCAGGAGTGTGATTTGGCTTCAGCAGGTTATATGTTTGCTCCAATATCCTTTTATTTTGAGCATTGTATCCAACCCCCAACAAATGCCAGAATGTATGCTGTCATACTCTGTATGGGCTGGAGCTCTGTCTTGGTGTGAATACCTGAGATCAGCAGCCTTTGGTTCTTCTCAGGCAGATGACTCTACTGCTGGAGAGTTCTTTTTTCCTATTTGTCTGAAACGGGTTTTCTTTTTTTTTAAGTGAATATACAATTTATTTAACATTCAAACTTCATTAAGACGTGCAATATGGCAATTTTACTGGGGATTAAACCCTACCTAGGATGATTGCTTGCTGGGGCTTAACAACAGGGTCCAGTTCACACTTACCACTAATTAAATACTTTATTGAATAAACACAATACTAAACAAAATGCAGTCAAATGTTTTCCAAAAAAATTTTTAAAGGCCTTTCTACTCAGGCTAATGACAAACACAATAAAGGCAGATATGCTAGTTTAACATAATTAGCTGATTTTATACAGCACTTATATCTTTTAGTCCATAAATATATTATTTAATGATAGAAAACATCTAAGACAACCATTTCTACAGAACTAGGAAATAAATTTCTAAGAAAGAAAGATTTTACAGACCCCATCTTTTATACCCACCCCAACAGTCTACCTCTAAAGAGGATAAAGCCAATGACTTTCCTCACAAGAGCTCACGACTAATGTTGCTTTGCTATCAAAATCTGTATTTCTGATCCGTTAAGAGCATTGAGACAAGATTCAAATATTCCCAAAGAAAGAAGCACAGTGCACGTTGTGATCGCCTATTTAGCAACAGCGAGCACTACATCCAAAACCCTCATCCCAGGAATTAAATAAGATCAGCCACATTCATGGGCATCTCCTCCATTGTAGTATTGTAGAAAGTCTCAATGTCACGAAGAATCCTCTTGTCTTCTTCGGTGACAAAGTCTATAGCCACACCTTTCCTCCCAAATCAACCCCCTCTGCCAATTCTGTGAATATAGCTTTCACGATTGGTAGGTAGATCATAATTTATAACCAAAGACACTTGTTGCACATCAATCCTGCAAGCCAACAAGTCAGTAGTTATCAGAACACGGCTTGACCCTGATCGGAATTCCCTCATGATAACATCTCTCTCCTTCTGGTCCATGTCACCATGCAGAGCAGAAACTGTGAAGTCTCTGGCATGCATTTTCTCAGTCAGCCAGTCCACCTAGCGCCTTGTATTGAGAAAAATAACAGCCTGCATAATGGTCAGTGTCTCATACAAGTCACAAAGTGTATCCAACTTCCATTCCTCTCTCTCAACATTGATATAAAACTGTTTGATTCCTTCAAGGGTCAATTATTCCTTTTTCACCAGATTTCCAATTGGATCTCTCATGAAATTTTTGGTCACTTCCAACACATCAGTTGGCATTGTGGCAGAAAGCAACACAACCTGAATACTTGTATTTAGTTTTTGGAAAATCTCATAGATTTGATCCTTAAACCCACGACTCAACATTTCATCTGCTGTATCCAAAACAAACATTTTGATCCGTTTTGGAGAAAGATATCTTCTGTTTAACATATCAAACACTCTCCCAGGTGTACCAACAACAATATGTGGTGCTTCAGCCTGCAGTTTTTGCATTTCAGTTCAAACATTTGTTCTACCAATGCAGGCATGGCAAGTTGCTCCCATATAGTCTCCAAGTGCCAGAATTGCCTTTTGGATCTGTTGAGCCAGTTCTCTGATGGGGGCCAATACTAGTGCTTGGGTCTCCTTGAGCTCAATCTCCAACTGTTGCAGGATGGAAATAGCAGATGTGGCTGTCTTGCCAGTACCTGACTAAGCTTGAGCAATCACATCATACCCTTTAATACAGGAAATAATAGCTCTCTGCTGAATAGCGGAAGGCTTCTCAAAACCGTAAGCATAGATGCCCCGAAGAAGAGACTCCTTTAAATTCATATCATCAGAGTTATCAACAGTCTCATTCCAGTTGCTCTCGATGACACCATCAGGGTCCATTCCCTCTGGGCTGCCATGTTCTCTGCTGTTATCCTGAAACAAGCTTTCTTACACCTCCTATCTACTGGTCCTGGCTCTGCCCACCAGCACTGCTGACTTATTTTTGCTCACAGGTTTAGCAGGTGCTCACTGTGCCTGCTATGTGCCAAGGCTGAGGGCCCTGCGCTTACCTCCTCAATCCTGGTTTTCTTCTCTGGACTTCACTTCTCCAGCTCCTGTGGGTGCGATGGGACTCTGAGACCCTTGCCAGCCTGGACTGCCCTGCCCAAGGCTGTCAGTATCCTAAAAGGATAATGAGGCCTCAGAGAACAGGGCCCAGGGCTCATCATGTCACCTGGACTATGAGTGACATAGTCTGAAGGATGTGGGATCTTCCCTCTTGCAGCATGAGAACACCCTTCCTACACCTTTATGAGAGCTTTTGGGCAGCTACTCCCACGCTTACCCAGCCTCATGCTGGGCATCTTCACACAAAGTCTGGTACCTTCCATCCTGGACTTGCACAGCCCAAGTGTGAATATGTGGGGGCCTGTGTGAGTCTCTGCTATGTTTTCTCTGGCTATACTTAGAGATCCTTTCCAACCTATTGAGACTGTTTTGGAACCTGACTCTGTTCCACAAACTGAGGGTAATAACTAAGACAGTGTGCATATTTCAGGAACCATGCTGTGAGAACTTCTCCCCTTCCTAGGGCCCTGAGAGCCCACTTTCCAAACCCCTGCATCTGACCTGGAGTAGGGTGACCAGTGTTGGGTGCTCAAGGCCAACGCCTTGCCAGCTCAGGTTTGGAGTGATGATGGCTGGGTAGTGGGAGTAGATGCCCAAGAGCTCTCACAATGTAGGAAGGGTGTTCTCATGCTGCAAGAGGAAGGCCCGTCGTCCTTCAGACTATGTCACTCATAGTTCAGGTGACATGACAGCTAGGGTTGTCATGGAGAGGCAACCACCCCTTGCATCCTAGCATGGCAGCCCCTGTGCTCTGCAGAGAAAACCCTTGTGCAGACTTGTCCTTCCTGGTCAGCCATGTTAAGCTGGCCTCACTTTGGGGTGCATTGGCCTTTGGCTCTGTAGGGTAGGTATCTCCAGGAGCAGCAAGTGCTCTGCAGATGAAAATTTCAAACACACATAAAAGGAGAAATAAAAAAAAGGAGAAAGGATGGTATACTGAAGTCCCTCCTGTGAACCTACCACCTAGCTTCAACAATGATTAGTATTTTGCCAACTTGTTTTATCTATATTTCTCCACACTTTTTTTTTGCTGGAGGATTTTCATTCAAAATAGAAATATATAATTTTACTCATAATAGTTTAGGATGTACCTCTAGTAGTTAGAGGGTGATAATTCAATGGCATTATCACAACCAACAGAGTTAACTTTAATTTCTTACTATAACCAAATACCGAGTCCATGTTTAATTTTTCTTTATTGTACCAAAAATAACATTTTATTTTATTTATCGTTTTTAAGATGGAGTCTCGCTTTGTTGCCCAGGCTGGAGTGCAGTGGTGCCATCTCAGCTCACTGAAACTTCTGCCTCATGGGTTCAAGCAATTCTCCCTGCCTCAGCCTCCCGAGCAGCTGGGACTACAGGTACCCACAACCACACCTGGCTAATTTTTGTATTTTTTACTAGAGACAGAGTTTCACCATTTTGGCCAGGCTAGTCTTGAACTCCTGACCTCAGGTGATCTGCCCACCTCGGCCTCCCAGAGTGGTTACAGGCGTGAGCCACTGTGCCTGGCCCCAAAAATTACATTTTAGTTTGTTCAAACAGTATTGAAACAAAGTCTACACATTGCATTTGGTTGATGTGTTCTCTAAATTTCTTTCTTTTTTTTTTTTTTTGAGGTGGAGTTTTGCTCTTGTTGCCCAGGCTGGAGTGCAATGGTGTGATCTTGGCTCACTGCAACCTCCGCCCCCCAGGTTCAAGTGATTCTCCTGCCTCAGCCTCCTGAGTAGCTGGGATTACAGGCATGTGCCACCACACCCAGCTAATTTTGTATTTTTAGTAGACAGGGTTTTTCCATGTTGGTCAGGCTGGTCTCAAACTCCCGAGCTCAGGTGATCTGCTCTCTTCAGTCTCTCAAAGCGCTGTGATTACAGGCGTGAGCCACTGCGCCTGGCCTGTGTTCTCTAAGTTTCTAACAGCCCCATTCCTCCTTTTGTTTTTAAATGCCACTTATTTGGTGAAGACATCAGGACATTTGTCCTAGACTATCTCTCATTTTGATTTTGGCTAAGCACATCATCATGATGTTATTTTACTTGCTTCCTAGTGTCCCCATATTTTCTACAAACTGGTAGTTAGATCCAGATCAGAATAGATTCAATCTTTTTGGAAAGAACACTTCATTGATATTGTGTACTTCCTATTGCATCCCAGAAGGAGGAACTACATCTGTTTCCTTGTCCCACATTAGTGATGAAAAGTTGGTTCAAGCCTGGGTGCAGTGGCTCACTCCTGTAATCTCAGCACTTTGGGAAGCTGAGACAGGCAGATTGCTTGAGCCCAGGAGTTTGAGACTAGTCTGGGCAACATAGCGAGACTGCATCTCTACAAAAAAAATACAAAAAAATTAGCCAGGCCTGATGGCACATGTCTGTGGTCCCAGCTACTTGAGAGGCTGAGGTGGGAGGATGGATCACTTGAAACTGGGAAGTGAAGGCTGCAGTGAGCTGTAATCGTGCCACTGTACTCCAGCTTGGGTCACAGAGTAAGACCCTGTTTCAGGAAAAAAAAAAGATGGATTAGGGGATTCAAGTAGTATCAGTGATTAATCCATTACGAAGTCCTCATCAACTTTTTGCCTGATGAATTTAGCATTCACTAATGATCCTTAGCTAGATCCATTATTTAATAAGCGACTGCAAAATTAGCTGAAATTCTTCTATAAAAATTATCTGTCAACCTTTTTTTTTTTTTTTTTTTTAACCAAATTTATTAAACATTGCAGTCAATAGCAGGAACACAAGAAGGAAAAAGACACAGTTCTATTCTCAAGATGCCCTCCAAACTGGGCTGACTCTCCATGCTTGATGCTCCTTTCAATGGATTGCTTCTAAATAACAATGTAGGTATTTTTATTTTTTTATTTTTATTTTTATTTTTTATTTTATTTTATTTTTTTTTTGAGACGGAGTTTCACTCTTGTTACCCAGTCTGGAGTGCAATGGCGCGATCTCGGCTCACCGCAACCTCCGCCTCCCGGGTTCAGGCAATTCTCCTGCCTCAACCTCCTGAGTAGCTGGGATTACAGGCATGCACCACCATGCCCAGCTAATTTTTTTTTGTAGTTTTAGAGACAGGGTTTCACCGTGCTGACCAGGATGGTCTCGATCTCTTGACCTCGTGATCCACCCGCCTCGGCCTCCCAAAGTGCTGGGATTACAGGCTTGAGCCACCGCGCCCGGCTTAATGTAGGTATTTTTATTAACGATAATATTCATGAATGTAGTTTAAGACTTCCTTGTGGTTTCCTTTGCCCTTAGGTTATCTCTTTCCAGAGATATATAGTTCTGTGTTTTAGAGTTATTAGAAATGATTCTTCTCTGTGTGTTTATCTGATTAGGAGGATATAAAGTTAAGCTATTTTTTTCCAATTTGCGTTTAATTTGTAAGTATTACTTTTCGATTGATTTTCTGCTGTCACTGTCATTCTGCACAATAAATCAGCCCAAGCTCAGTAGCTTCAAATAGCAATTTTTTATTCTCACTCATGCATCTGCATGTTGTCTAGAATTCACTGATCTAGGCTGGGCTCCAGGCTGCAGTTGGGTCCTGGTCACATTCATGTGTCTCTCATCTTCCCTGGACAGCGGTCTAGCTGGGGCATGTTCTTTTTTTCCTTCTTGTTCTTTATTATTTGAGACGGAGTCTTGCTCTGTCACAAGGCTAGAGTGCAGTGGTGCGATCTTGGCTCACTGCAACCTCTGCCTCCTGGGTTCAAGCAATTCTTCTGCCTCAGCCTTCCAACTAGCTGGGACAAGTGCGTGCCACCATACCCAGCTAATTTTTGTATTTTTACTAGAGACAGGGTTTTACCATGTTGACCAGGATGGTCTCGATCTTCTGACCTTATGATCTGCTCACCTTGGCCTCCCAAAGTGCTGAGATTACAGGTGTGAGCCACCACGCCTGGCCACATGTTCTTCTTATGGTGATGAGAGAAAAACAAGAGGGTGTGCCTAACCACACAGCACATTTCAAGCCTCTGACATTATGACACATCTGGTAACATTCCTTTAGTCAAAGCAATTGATTGTTAAATCCAAGTCAAAGAGTTATATTTCAATTACTATGGCTGTGTAACATGCCACCCCAAAACTTGGTAGTGGAAAACAACCATTTTTCTGGTCACAGATTTTGCAGGTCAGGAATTTGGGCAGGGCACAGTAGAATGTAGCTTGTTTTTGCTTCACAATGTCTGGAGCATCAGCTGGAAGACTTGAAGGCCAGAGATTAGAATCTTCTGAAGGCTCATCACTTATATGTTTGAGAGTTGATGCTGGCTGTTAGCTGGGAACCCCACGGCTTCTCCATGTGATTTCTCCAGGCAGGCTAGTTTGGGCTGCCTCACAATGTAGTTGCTGAGTTCCAGGGGTGGAAGAGGGCAAGGTAGGGGTTGGGAGGCAGGTAGAAGACTGTACTGACTTTTATGATTTAGTCTCAAAAGACATGCAGTGTCACTTCTGCCACATTCTGTTCACTAAGGCAGTCACAAGATCCTGCCCAGGTTTCAAAGGAGGGGACATATGGACTCTGTAAGAACATGTGGGACTGGAAATCTTGCTGTATTTTTTGGAAAATACAGTCTGCCGCAGCTGGAAAATATATACTCCGTCTCTAGTTGGAGGAACTGCAGAGTCACATGGCAAAGAACAGAAATTGATGGAAAGTAAAGAACTGAAAACAACAATGGCATCTACCATACTTTTTAAAAAATTATCATTCCAAATAAAACAAGGTATATTGAGAGAAGTCTAATTCCATCTTGTTCCCTCTACTTTATTCTCTCTGCCTTTCTGATAAGAAACAATTTCTATCAGATTTTTTCCACTGTTTCTTTCTGCAAATTTAAGGGAAAAATATATTTTTTTATCTTTCTTTTTTATGTAAAAGGTAGGAGACTCTAAGTACTCTTCTATACTTTGCGTTTTCCCCCATGATCAATCTTGAAGATTACCCTGTAGCAGAATATATAAATCCTCTTGATTCCTTTTTGCATCTGCGCTATGCCTCACCATGTAGACGTGCCATGGTTTATCCGTGGACTTTGGGCTGTGTCCAGTCTTTTGCTCTTACGAATAAAACCACAGTGAGGAATCTGGTAAATACACCATTTTGTAATTTTACCAGTGTGCCTGTGAGATAGTTTCCTAGAAGTAGGATTGCTGCAACAAAATGGTAAATGTATAAGTTGTTTTTCTCTATGTTGCTAAGACTGAGAGGGCCAAGGGCAGAAGCAATAGCATTCAGGCATGAGAGGATGATCGTGGGGGTTACATGGGCGTCACAGGACAGGCAGGTGGGAAGGGGCTGAGTAGTTAAGAGTGGTGAAAAGTGCTCAACTTCTGAATATATTCTGGAAATTGAGCCAAAAGGATTGCTGAAGGGTTAGCTGTAAAGAGTTGAAGAGAGGAGTTAGGAGACGCTCTGAGTTTTGGCCTGGGCATCTGGTGTACACAGGGAGGAGGAGGAATGGACCTAGACCAGGAGTTTGTTTTTGGACAAGTTGTTTTTTACATGCATCCAAGTGAGATATTAGGTAGGCAGCTGGGTATTCAAGTCTGGGCCGGAAAAAAAGTAGCACTTCACCTGCAAGTGCTTTAACATTAATGCCACCTGGTTCCTACAAGTACCCTGAAAAAGAGATAAGGGGGAGGAGGAAATTGAGGCAATACTAAGGTTCCAAGAGAGTGAATCAAGTGCATTCAATTCAACAAATATTTACCTTTTCAAATGAAATGTTGGAAATGAAAACACTCAGCATGAGGCCTGGCATTAAGTGCCTACTAGTTGATGTCATGTTCCATGCCCAGGGCTGAGGATAGAAAGATGAACAGGTAGATTATGCCCTGATTTCCTACCCCAGACATGTTTGAGTTAAACCTGAGTAAGGGTATAGTCCCTGCCTCGGGGAGCTCTGACTCAGTAGGGGATGCTTGGAGGGCTCAGAGGCCTACTGTGGTCCAGCCTCCTCATCTTCACATACAGCTGCTAAAACCGATTATAGAATTTGAGGCTCAGACTGGAGAGTTCACTTGAAAGGTGTGGCCCATTCTATTGGCTCTAGAATCTTCAGCTAGTCAGAGATGAAGCTCAGGCCACCAGAACCAAGAGAATAGTCTCTCACTGCGTGAAAAGTGTCACTTTGACTCTTTAGCCCTCACTCCTGTTCAATAAACTTCATGAAGCCAGGTAAAGGGGGTTGGCCTTCAGCTGGAGTGACAGTGGAGTGGGACAGGCCCCCCCTTGACAGATGTAGGGTACTGGGAAGAGGACAGGAGAGAAGGAGTTCCAGGTCTGGGGCTGCTGCTCTGGGGTTGTGATTTTGCTGTTGGGCAGCTGAACAGAGATACCATAATTTGACTTTGGGATGTATATTTCTCTGGGCTTAGGAACCAGGATGCAGGCTGTAGCACATGAAACTGTCTCGGAAGCCAGCGGCCTGGAATAGGAGCTTCCCAATGGCCAAGCACTCATCTCAGCTCCCCTCCTGTGCTGAAAGCACTTTTTGCAAATGATGGTACTTAGCACTGATTGCCTGGCAGTCTAAGATACACCACCTATAGAGCAGAGTCAGAGGGGGTTTTCCTGCCAGTGCACTTCTGGGGAGCTATGATGCAGGCTAAGCCGGTGGAAGAAAGGGAGGAAAGGAGCAGGCAGAGCAGGCAGGCTTGATCTGGTGCTCCCAGCAGACCAGGTTTGCCACACTGCCTCCCTCCACCTGACCCCTTCCTCCCCAGCTTGATTAGGGTGTGTGTTGGAGCCCGCCCAAGGGTTCATGCTGTCATTCGTAACACCTACGTGGCCATTCTGTTGTTTACTTTGGTTTGAGCTGTGGAAACAGACTGAAGAGCAACAGGCACCAGCCTCTGTGCTGTCCCTACCCAGGTCCCAGTTGGGGATGAGGAGCCCTGGGAAGACCCTCCAAGGTTCCAGGGACAGATGCTAGAACCACATAATCACCTCCTTTTCTAGATAGTAAAAAACAAACAAAACCTCTACCTCCCTGAGTGTTGAGTGAAGAAAGCGAACATGTTCCCCCTGTTCTCAGCTTTGTCAGAGAGCCTGGTGGGGACTCTTGGGGGGGCAACACCTCTCCTTCCAATGCCAAGACCCTGGCTCGCTGCACTGAGCCTGCCTGGTAGTGCTGATAACTTGTTTTCAGAGACAAGAAGGAAAAGGAAACTAGATGCTTTGCCCTTTTGGAAAGCCTCCTGTGCTCCCTGCAGTCCCACATGAGCACTGACTCTGGAAAAAATATACTCTGCCTCTAGTTGGAGGAACTGCAAAGTCACATGGCAAAGAATAGACTAGTAGGCTCTCAGGCCCGTGAAATGGAGGGGAAGTAACCCCAGGAGTACCAGAGCTGAGCCTCCCAGCAAAGTTTGGCAGGAAACGTGGGCCTCAGTCAAGCTCCTTCAGCTTACTTTTCCTTAGTCCCTTCTCATGGCTCAGGAAAAAACAAGAAGTTCAGATAGTGATATGCATTGCTTTTGAAAAGATAGTAACAGCTCTTAGTAGTAGCTGAGGAATTTTTTAAATACGCTGTTTTTTTTGTTAAATTCTGTGTAGCTCTGGCCAATAGAGGGTTAAGATCACTGGTGGGATGGAAATACTAATTCCAGAGAGGTAGTGGGCATTTCCAAGCACCCCACAGCAAGTCAGGGGCCAGACAGGGAAGAGGAGCCTGGTTTCCTAGCTCTAGCCTCTGCATGATGAATCTCCCTGGCTACTTTGGAATAAGAAAGATTTTATGTGTCCATTGAAGGGTCAAGGCATCCAGTAGGTAAGAATGGCACACTTCCTGCCCTTGTTGCAGGGCACAGGTCTCTGGGAGCGTAGACTGGGGGTAGGGAGTGGGAGTGGGCAGCTTCAGGGTAGCCTTGAGGTATAAGGCTCCAGGACCAGAAGAGCCCAGGCCTCATAGGATGGAGTTTGGTGGCAAAGCCTCTGCCACAGTGAGACTACTTGGAACAGCCCACTTTTGTAGTGCACTCACTCTGAGCCAGGCCCCAGAGGCCTCAGGGTATAGTAGGGAGCATGAGGACAGAGATTGGTCATCCCTTTTTTCCTCCAACTGCCATGGACATGGGGGAATAACTGTAAACCAGCTGACATGTTCTCGATGCATATGGAGCACACAGCCATCAGGAATAAGACCCACACCATGTAAGTGATTCTGGTAAAGTGTATTGATTATTATTCGATGGCATGCAGTGGGGGTGAGTTTAGGCATGTGGGATAGAGGCAGCACCACCAACTCCCCTACCCTAATAAATTAGCTTTGCAGAGACCCTGCTTTATCCTCAGAGAAAGCTTTGCTCCCCAGTGCATACAGCATTTTGAGAATGTTGTTTCTTTGTCCATTCAGTCAACAAACTTGTAGCCCCTGCTGTGTATCAGAGTTTGTGCAGGCTCTGAGTTCACAGGGGAAACACAACAGTCAGGCTGGTTGGATCCCACAGACTGGATAAGCACAGAAGCCTCAGCTAAAGCTACATAGTGGAAGGGGCAGACTTCTTCACAGTTCCCACTGCGGGTCTCAGAGTGCTGATGTCCTGCCAGCCTTGAGCAGGATTTCTTTTGTGGCTGGGCAGGCCTGAGCTTCAGGTGATGGCTGCTCCTCCCTAACACATGCACACGCAGGTAGCACACACACACACACCCCCCACACCCGACACCCCACACTGATGCTGCTCCCAGGGCTTCAGGGAAAACCTAATGGCCAGGTTCAGTGAATGCTCGCCTGTCTTTATCTGTGTAACCCTCCTTATGGGGCTCAGACCCTTTTGACCACACTCTCTTGGAAATTCCCTTCTAGGTTTCTGTACCGCCTCCTTGTTTACTTCTCATTCTCCACTGTGGCACCACTTGCTCTGCCCGCCTAAGTCCCAGGACTCAGCCCTGAGCCATCTTTCTTCTCCCTCTCACTGGGCCCCACCCAGGGCTTCTGCTTGAGAGGTACTGCATGCTGATGGTTCCAAAACTCTCTTCAGCTCAGGTTCTCCAGTTCTCAGTGGACGTCTCCATATGGGCACCACCATGCACAGTACCATCACTTACCCCCTTCCCTTCCCCTGTTTCAGTATTTCAATACTGAAATAGTGTTGACTATTGGACTTGTAGGAGCTCTTTTCTTGGAAAAACTTGAGTCTATAACATGATGGAATTAATCAGACATAAAAACTTTTTGAGGACAAAAATCAATGATTTTGTTAATTGTCCATAAGAGATCTTAAAAAGTATTTTGTTTGGGAATGGAACCTCTTCTCAGACCCAGGTTTGGGCTCCCTAGGGCCTTGAAGTCAGTGGGGGAAGCTGAGTAGGGTATGCTTGATGGATCAAGGAACACATCTAGGGGAAAATATCACAATCCAACTTGGACAGCCCCAGGTCAAAAGTGGGTGGTATTATGAGATCAGAGTGGTATCCTTTGGAACTCAAGGGTAGTTTGCAGCCAAGTTTTGGCCAAGGATAAGGAATCAAGGAAACCATCCCCTGTATCTACTTTCTTTCATGTTTTTTTTTTTTTGAGACGGAGCCTCACTTGGTCATCCAAGCTGGAGTGCAATGACACGATCTCAGTTCATTGCAACCTCTGACTCCTGGATTCAAGTGATTCTCCTGCCTCAGCCTCCCAAGCAGCTGGGATTACAGGCACCCAATACCATGGATGGCTAATTTTTTTGTTTTTAGTAGTGATGGGGTTTCACCATGTTTGCCAGGCTGGTCTCGAACTCCTGACCTCAAGTGATCCGCCTGCCTATGTCTCCCAAATTGTTAGGATTACAGGCATGAGCCACTGTGCCCAACCCCCTACTTTCTTAATCTCCTTGCTTCTTTCTCTTTCCGTAACCTGGCCATTTGGACTTCTCCAGGCTGGTGGATCTTGGTAGCCCATGGCTCACATGCTCCTCTGCCTGCTGTCCTTTCTCTCCCCTTTTAGATTTCCAGGAGAGCGACTCTGAGAGGCTCAATGTGAGCCAGGGGCCAGCACCAGCTCTGAGCTGCAGTGCAGGTGGGGCTGCATCATACATGGTCTGCACAGGACCCTTCTGCAGATCTGGGGGGTGGTCCTAAAAGCAGCCTCTACAGTTAGACAGGAGAGACTGAGATAAGAGATGAACTCAGGGGAAATTCTGAAAGGTAAATTCATCTTCCTCACTTGTTTTCCCCTCCCCTCTCTCCCCCTCGTCTCTCAAGGCAGGACTAACCCCAGGGACCTATTCATTCTATTCTAGCCTGACTCCCAAGGGTCTTGAGGCTTTCAGTCCCTGTTTGTCCACTGAGCTCAGTTTCTCTGGTTTAGAGCTGTCCTTGCAGGGCTCATCTCAGTCTCTGCTTTCATAGATGATGGAATTGTGCTGCTCTTGCCAGTCCCTTTTCATTACTGGGATCACCTTGCATTTTCATGGGCTCCTCAGATCCCTCAGCTGTGTGTGCAGAAGAAAGGGGGAAGGCCAGTTAATAGGCAGCCTCTGCCAAGTACCTCTTTTGAGGATGACTCTCAGGTACTCTGAGACTGGGAGAGGCGAAGTCTCAGAGTACCTGAGGGATCCAGGCTAATGGAAACCTCCACTCTGTCTTTCCTAGGTGAGATGCTAGGGTCTGGGATGCAGTGGTGAGCAAAGTTGGTACAGCCCTATTCTCAAGGAGATAAGGGCCTAGTGGGAGAGACTGACTTTAATCACACACAAATCAAAATGCTGTTGAAGGAGTAGGACCAGAAGCCATGAGGACTAATGCCCTGAGGCAGTGATGCCAGGTGAGGACATGTGTGTGACATGTGTCTGAGGGGTGAGTAGCAACCCTGAGGTAGTGATACCAGGTGAAGACAGGTATGTGGCATGTGTCTGAGGGGTGAGGAGGAGTCCTGAGGTAGTGATGCCAGGTGAAGACATGTGTGTGGCTTGTCTGAGGGGTGAGTAGGTGTCAAGGAAACAGGTGGGTGGAGAGGAAAGGGGGTCAAGCCTTCTAGGCAGGTGGGACCACACGCGCAAAGGCCCTGAGGCTCATGGTCAAAGAAACAGGATGTTTCTTTTCAGTGGAAGATGGACCAGAAGCATGGAGGGGTGCAAAGGGACGTGTTCTGGCAATGGTACACACAGCCTATTTTTAGCCAGGACATCCTCCTGCTATGACTGCTGGGGCTGGTTGTTCAGATAGTCTGCCTCTCCTGTCCCCTTTAACTCCTCCCCAGCTTTTTCCTCTGGGGTCCAATAGGAGCTCACTGCCCCTCCCCACTTTGGGGCTGTTTGTCCAGCTAGCTGTTCCTGCCACTATGGAAGCACACCAAAATAGTCATTTCCCCTTGAGGAGAGGTAGAGAGGTAGCAGCAGTACTTCCTCTCTGTTTTTGAGATGGGGTCTTGCTCTATTGCCAAGGCTGGAGTGCAGTGGTGCAATCA